GGGCCGCGTTTCAGGATAAGCAGCTTATCCTGAAACGCACAAGCTGCCCCAAACGGACCCTTAATCCAGAGCATGCACACCACTGAGAGGAGCTAAGAGCTCAAACTGCACAACTTAATTTTTTTTTTTCATATAAACAAGGCAATATTAACTAAAATTTAGCCGATAGTTGGAGTTTGTTTATGAACAAAGATCGAGAATTATATATCTTACAGGCATAAAATCGATTTAATTTCACGAGTCCTTCATTTAATTTCAAAATTGAATCAAATCAATCAAATTTGTCCGATTTAATTTGATTTTGACGGTATAATGCATGCCCCAATTGATCCATGGCCCTAATTGTAAGAGCTTGGATAAGAATAGATCCAAGAGGTTTTGGTGTAATTTGTAGACATGTAGAAGTGCCTGAGGAGAGGATGATATGGAAGATTTGGGTGCTATAAATGTAGAAGGTGAAGTTTATGTGTTAGATATGTAAACACAGAGAATTGGATGGTTTGTATGTAAATTTCCCAAGTAAATTTGAGATTAATTGAATTCTGAATGAGAAATTAAAAGAGAACCCAAATAGTTTAAATTAAACGATGATGATAATTTATGATCCTATGATTTTTTTAGTATTCTTATGATCTTGCATTGCTCATATACTCAAACGATCCTAAGTTGCAAACAAAAATACATGCAACAATATATATATATATATATATATATATATCAATTTTGGCAGAATGGACAGATTTTGTGTGTGGGGAAAAATTATTATGTGTGGGCATCTAGATGTACAGAAAATGGTGAATAGGGAGGCCACCTCACCACAAATTTATGTAAATGTGACGTGGTCTCCTTATTCACTGTTGTCCGTACATGCAGTGTCCGTACGTAATAATTTTTTATGTGTTTAGTCTTTGGTGGTGTTGATTACAAAAAAAAAAAATAATAATAAGATGAATAAATCAAATAAAATTCTAACCACTTGTGAATTACATATACATCAAAAATTTGTCAGCACGAACGTTGTAGAAACACAACAAGCAACAAAGAAGATGATGTGGTGAGATGGGGCCCATTAAAGGCAGTTTTAAAGCCAAAAACACATATTACTATATATATATATATCGACGTTGCGGAAGAC